TTTTGATGTAGCCTTGCAAGCATCTGATCCTTTGAGGTTCCAGAACCTGACCCAGACGCTTGATTTCCATTTTCAAGCCCTTGCCAATGGTGTTGCTCAGCATGCTGAGCAGCGAAGAGTGGAAATTGAGAAGGAAAAAATGGAGAAAGCATCTTCAGCTGCAGTGGGCGCCTCATGATTTCATTTTGTAGAGCCCTGATTGCTGGTATTATGGTTTTGGCGTCTGAGTTCATTGGTCATCATGCAATAATGGTGCCAGAAAATCAAGAGTGAGTTGGAAGCTGTAGAGTTCTCTGGGTTCACTGGTCTTGGTGATCAGTGAGTATGAATCCATATTCTGGTCCAAACAAGTGTCTGCATTCCAAAGATGAGCTTAATCGGAACTCGTGATGCTGCTGCCCCTTTTCTCTGAAGCTGTGGGTTTGCGTTAGTCATTATCTGATGAATCGGCTGTTCTATATAAGAATATCGCCTTTCCTCAGGTTATATCCTTTAGGGGAGAGTCTTGTAGTTGTAGAATTTTTATACGGATGGACCAAAAAAAAATTATATATTTTGATTAGTGACCCCTCTGTTCGGCGTAGCAGGAGGGTGAAGTCCATACAGGTTATATTAGTTGTATTGCGGTTGGTCTGAAGAGGTCGGTAGAAGATGTATCCTTATTCATATCCATGTCATTCTTTTCTTATTGTCGAGAGTGCATAAATTTTTGCTTGGCGGTGTAGTTCACATAATGTTGCACATCATTGGTCATCTTGTGGGTTGTCGGGAGATTTTGCTTGCGATCCTAATAGGTTTAGAAAACTGTATTCTTTAACATTTGTATCGAAGTGAAGTTTCAATTTTGTCTTTCCTGTAGTGATCTTTATTGCTGGCGTCCTATTTTTTGTTTTTCCTTTTAGATGAAATTTTTGTACGCATTGGATTGCAAATGTTCAGAGGCTCAGGTTTTGACATTTTGATGTATGATCACGTAGAACTTACCGCTGTTTTAAAACTTGCTGCCAGAAGTACCCGAGTGGAACTCACTAAGAATCCTCGGTCTTGAAATTATATTTTGTCCCGTTTGTCTCGTGTTTATGCAGCTGCCAAGTGTGCGCATGCTCGAGTTATCAATGCATCAATACACGCAATAGCTGTGTAAACACGGGGCAGTAGATAATTTAGGGACGGGGGATTCTGAGTGAGTTCTCACTACCTCTTTCGCATTTGAATCAGATTCTACGATCCTGACACTTGATTTAGATATTCATGGACAGAGGATCAAAACATCAGTGATCAATTTTCTGTTTATGGTAGTTGGTCGTTGCAATGATGCGGCCCAGGCATCTCATCAGGGTCATGGCCTAATTTATCATCAATTCCAAGTCCCGTTGATACGCAGATGAAAATTTTGATGAGCTAAAACTTTGAGCATCAAGTCCTTCCATCCAAATTTTTGAGGTTCCAGATAAAGTTTGAGCAATTTCTGGGCAGTTGCTCAGCGCTGGATTCTGATGTATATTCCTTCTACGTAATACAAGTTGACGTTTTTGACCAAATAAAGAAAAAAAAAAAATCTAAGAGATCAATGATCCACGTTTGAAAATTTTGAGAGTTAACCTGGATTATAGTCACCAGTCATCAGTCACCATAAAGTTTTAGTCAGCCAATTATAAGAAAACTGCAAACAGCTTGGTCACCCAACCTCTAGTTTAGCCATTAAGCTTTGGGTTCGTTTGGATTAGCTGATTTTGGGAGTATTTTTTAAAAACTTTGTTGTAGCAGAGTTTTTAGAGTATATTTTGGAATATTTTTAAAAAATATTTTGAAATATTTAAGAGCAGAAGAGTTTCTAGAATATATTTTGAGATGTTTTTTAAAATTTTAAAAAAATTTAAACTAATTTTTAGATTACCTTTTAGAGTACTTTTTAAAATTTTTTATTGTATTTGAAAAACTAGTTTTTGAAAAACAATCCAAAAACAGGGGATCCAATACTTTTATTTATGTTTTTGTTTCTTTATTTCTGTTTAGTTTATGGAGTATTTATGCCCACACCTACTCTTTTAGGGCAATTAAAGATAAATATATCAAATAACTTTATATTTTCCTTTCTCTGTTCCCCTATTTGTTTTTTTTTTTGGGTTCCCCTATTTGATTATATCTTGTTTCATTATTTCTTTACCATCTATGGTTACAAGATGATTGGTGGGTTTATTTTTTTGTGTATTTTAATTTATTTTTTTTAAAGAAATAGATATCCATAGACGTAAGAAGATAAAAGAGACTTTAACAGTGATGATAACTATTAATAAGTGCTGAAACTATCTCAATATTTAAGTTGCCTTCTATTAATTTATTGTGAAAATTTTGTTTTCACTAATATCTAATTTTCATGAACTCTCAAAGCTGACACATATCTAGTTAGGCTAAAACATTAGATTTGGAATAAGGGGAAGGAATCAATCCTATTTGTCAGCTATCATCACAAACCTAAAGGAAGTCGTCTATTCTAATCAGTTCAATTTCTACCATTGCAAAGAGCAAAAAATTTTATGTCCCTTCACATTTCTTAAAACCAAGGCTGTGTTGAGAAGTATAACTTCTTTCCATCGTTTTACAACGTTGGTCAATTGATATAGTATTGTACTTTGTGAGTTTGCGTTCCAAAAACTTTTTTTGGACCTTGAAACATGTAATACTACCTTTCAAGAATGGCGGATAGAAAGGGTTTTATGGAAGAGCCAAATTAAGGGAACCAAAAATGGGCTAGAATAAATAGCACAAAACAAACTGATTTGAGCAACTTGTATATATATGTCACTAGTCAAAAGTTTCCAATGATGGTCCTAATTTCTGACTAAAATCAATTTTCAACTGATGACAAATCAATTCTGAGAGATTCACTCTTTATCTGTAATTTTCTTTGCTCCCTGCTATACTGGCTTTTCGTGTAAACAATCATTTCTCTAGACTAAAATCAATTTTGCAACAGCCGAAAGAAGCTAATTTTGGTTGTCACCAAAAGCGGATTAAGTCCTTTTCTTGGGCTCTAGATCGAGGGTTTGAACTTCACTTACAGTGAAAAAAAATTCAAAGGAGGTGTTAGAACACCTCTTTGATATATTTGGATTTGTATACTTGTTAACCCATTATACAGTTTTTTTAGATTCTATCTCCTTTTAAAATAGGATAGATTAGATTATAAAAATATTATCGTTGTGACAAAAAGTAAAATAGAAAGAAGCTAATTTCGCAATTTATGGTTTTAAACCATGGGCTAATTTCTCAGAATATACCCCAAAAAAAAAAGTCCGTCAAATGTATGTTTGACAAACCTACTGTACAAAACTATACCTGTCGTCCCCAGTCAACAAGGTGGCTAGCAGGCAGTCGGTAAAAAAAAAAAGCTACGGTTGCAACTGCATATGCCTGGACCTTCTCCTACCCTTTTCCTGAATAGACCCAATCAGTAGTAAGAATTATCCTTTGATCTCTTTCAAGCAGTTCTTGCATTTGTTGCAAACCCATTCATCGGCTTCAGGGAATTGGTCAGAAGTACTGGACATACCTATCATTTTCATGCACTTGCAATCAGGCAAGTAACGCGGAGTAGGCCAAGCCAAGTAGTTGGTTACCAACCAAATTTAGACTTACGTGAGGAATCGACAAATATGATGGTTGCTTTCATGATGTCTTTTCCATTTCCAAATATTCAAACTGTGGTTTTCGTAGTTTTTCTTTTGGTGGAGAAGCAGGGCTCGGGTCTGCATTTCATCACTGGCCTTCGTTTCTTTGACAATTCTGCATCCATCATGCTGGAGTGTGCCTGTGTTGTCATCTAGTCTGATTATTTGTTTATGACTCGGCATCTAAACTAAGTCTACTAACCATCCAAGTGCCTCGATATAATGTCATGGTTTTTTTTTTTTTTTTGTCAGCAACCATACATTTGTATAACTTATTCTATCCTAATTTAGGGGGGATGGAAGCCTAAGAAGGCTGTAGTAAGAGGTTAGTGGGTATACAGATTCAACTAGATCAAGGAAGTGTTCTAGCATAACTTTTAAATTTTTTTCGCTGCAGGTGAGGTTTGAACTCTCATCTACAGCCCAAAAAGGGACTTAAGCCCCTCTCTATTCTAAGTTATTTTGCTATTGTTTTTGTACTCATCCTCTAGTTTGACCGAATCATATGTCCATCCATGGAAGTCAAGGGTAGGAATATTTCAAGCCAAATTGATGTTGCTGGTGGAGCCATGAAAGCAACGATTATCAAGTCCCGCCTATTTTTCTTAGTCAAGTTTTGGATAAATATTCTGAATAATATTTTATGTCAAAGTAAAATCTTTCTAGACAAATACGCCATTATGTGGTAACTTTAACTTCCAATAAATGGATTAACTAAAACATATTCATGTCAAATTTCGGACAGAGATGTAGAATATTTTATTTTGAAGATGAAAAGCTCCAGATTGACATTAGTTGACTCTGTCATAGTTCATTGGTGTCAAATTCTAGAGTGTCTGACGATCTCTATTCTACCAGTGTTCATTTGCTGCTAAATCTGAAGATGGCAAAGCTGGTGTACAGCCTTGTGTATTTGTTGAACTTCCCTTGATAAATCCACTAGCAAAACACACCAAGGTTTAGTTTAGAAGAGACTGAGAAAGTCCAGGCAGATGCAGTTGCAGCACGGTAGCTATTTTTTTTGATCGACTGCCTGCTATCGTGCACAGTCAGCACGGTAGCAGGCGCCATTTTTTTTTTTTTTTTTAAATTTGGCTGCAGACTGCCGTGCACAGTCAGTAAGATAGCCTGCACTGCAGTGATTAAAAAAAATAAATTTCTTGTCGTATTGACTAGACACGACAGGTATAATTTTGTACAATACGGGGCATACATTTCATGAATTTTTTTGTTTAGGTATATTATGAGAAATTAGCCCAAACCATGATTCATCTCGTGCAATTGACAGCAATAAAATTTGTGATGTGATGTGATGATGTGGCTCCAGTCTCGTTAAGGTGTGCACGTTGGAAGGCATATGCAACAAGTTGGACACCATCCATCCATGTGGGGTATGTCATCTACTTAAAGTCTTAAACAGGTGTTTGAACAAGAAAAAAAATGGTACCTAACTTGGAAAAAAGAAAGAGATGGGAACCTGTTTTCCACAGCACTCATCCTCTTTATCAAACACATAAAATTGGGAAAGACATGACATGGGAATATATCTACCCTGCCAAGGCCCATGGGAAGCAAGCTAAATCATTTTTTTTCCTATTAGCCGAAACGAAGAACATTAGAAAGAGGCACAAATATACCAAGAGTATTCTCCCTTTGTTGTTTTCTCAGCCATGGCATCGCACAACCAGCTTCACTTTATCTTGTTTCCTTTGATGGCCCCGGGCCACATGATTCCCATGATCGACATTGCCAAGTTGCTGGCACAGCGTGAGGTGCTTGTAACTATCATTACCACGCCCATCAATGCTCAAAGATTCAGTAAAACTATCAATAGTGCAATAGAGTCAGGGCTCCAAATCCAACTCATCGAAATCCGTTTTCCATCTGTGGAAGCTGGCTTGCCAGAAGGTTGTGAAAATATTGACATGCTTCCCTCGCTGAACATGGCTGCCAACTTCTTTGTTGCACTTAGCCTGTTGCGGCAAGAAGTGGAGCAATCTTTAAAAGAGGTAAATCCCAAGCCAAGCTGCCTGATTTCCGACATGGGTTTACCTTGGACGACACAAATAGCTAAAAGGTTTGATATCCCAAGATTTGTGTTCCATGGAACGTGTTGCTTTTCGCTCTTGTGCTCTTACAACATCCTAGTCTCCAGGATTCGAGACGACATAACCTCAGATACAGAGTACTTTGTGGTGCCAGGCCTGCCGGACCGGATTGAAGTTACTAAAGCTCAGACAGCAGGTGCCACCAACGCGAACTCATCTGCATTGAAAGATGTTACCGACCAAATCAGAGAAGCCGAGGAAACATCATATGGTGTGGTGATTAATAGTTTTGAGGAGCTGGAACCCGAGTACGTGAAAGAGTATCGAAAAGCCAAGGGGAAGAAAGTCTGGTGCATAGGCCCTGTGTCATTGTGCAACAGGGATAACTCAGACAAGGCCGAGAGGGGAAACAAGGTTTCAATAGATCAAGAACATTGCTTGAATTGGCTGAATTCACGTAAGCCGAGATCAGTGGTTTATGCAAGTTTCGGAAGCTTGTCTCGCCTGATGCCTCTGCAAATGATGGAGCTTGCATTTGGTCTAGAAGCATCAAAGAGACCTTTCATATGGTCGATTGGAGGAGGCGGACAAGTAGAAGCACTAGAGGAGCTGATTTCGGGAAGTGGATTTGAAGAAAGGACCAAAGAGAGAGGCCTCCTGATCAGGGGTTGGGCACCACAAGTGCTCATACTTTCCCACCAGGCAATTGGAGGATTCTTGACCCATTGCGGGTGGAACTCGACGCTGGAAGGGATATCAGCAGGTGTGCCAATGGTGGCGTGGCCGCAATTTGCTGAGCAGTTTTACAATGAGAAGCTGATTGTAAAAGTACTCAAGATTGGAGTGAGCGTGGGTGTTGAAGTGCCCGTGAAGTGGGGAGAGGAAGACAAAGCAGGGATATTAGTTAAGAGGGAAGATGTCAAGAAAGCATTAGATGAACTGATGGAAGATGGAGGGGAAGGAGAAGAGAGAAGAAGAAGAGCAACAGAGCTTGGGGAGAAGGCCAAGAAGGCAAGTGAAGAAGGCGGCTCTTCTCACAAGAATATGACAATGCTAATCCAAGATGTCTTGGAACAGCAAAGCTAAGGGAAGTAGCAAAATGAAAACACAGGCAGGCAAGCTGGTGGACTAAGATTTCCTGAATAATATTTATTATCTGTATGATTATCTATGACAAGTAAAGCTTTCGGTTTCTATCTGTTGGGGCAGCAACAGATAGCCAGCTTATGGGTTTTTGTTGGCGGAGCCAGCTTAGAGAGGAAACATATATCTTCTAGCGTCCTGTGTTTGAATCACTGCTTGTATCGTTACATATTATTATTACACGAAAATATAATTTTAAGTCTGAGATGATCTTGCAGTTTTTTTTTTTTTTAAATTATCCTTGTGAACAAAGCATCTTGCGATTCATATCAGGACATGCCCTTCTATCTTAGCAGATTACCTAGGAAAAGTTCCAATTGAGTTAATAAGCAACTTATTTGCTGTGGTTAAGAAGTTCCCTAATTGGAAAAGAAGTTTTTGACCAAGTTTATCTCCTATGAATTTTTTAATAACTTTAACTATAGTAATTTTAAAAAACTTTTCAAAGTTTTTAAAATGCACACTTCAAAATACCCGAAACATTAAAAAAAAAAATCCATCTTAAAAATTTTTCTTAAAAATTCTACAATAAATTATAGTAAAGTTTTAGACAAACATCCAAAAAATTCATTTGACATAAGCGAGTTGAATCAAATAAGCATCTTGACTAGCCCTTCAACAATATAAATAACTTTTTGTTTATTAAATTCCACCTCTTTTATGTTAAAAAAAAAAAATCAATTTCATAGCATAAGGATTCCTTTCAGTGGCATGAGTGGCGTTACATAAAACGGTATTTGCAATTATTAATCTCAGCTTCTTGGCACACAGTCTGGGACTGTAGTACAAGTACTCTCTGATCAATTTAACAAAAGTAAATACTATTTGCAATCCAACCCTAGTTTTAAGCTTGCTAGGGATGCCCAGAACTTAAAATTGGAACGCAGCAAAAAGAAAACATGAAAATTGGAAACTTTCAAAGATTGTTACTCCTTTCACGTTTTTCATGATGATTTTAAAAAATTGTTGCAAAATGACCATCTCAAATACTACTGCTCTTTTTCTATTTCGCAATTGTCATAGATACACCCTTGTAAAATTTTGCATGATGTGAAATGCGTATTCAATAATTTTGCCATATGAATACCTCGTCCAATATTGTGTGTGTGAGAGAGAGAGATGCAGCCGTGTTAATAGCAGGTGTTAACAGGGTTGCATATTTCATTTTTAGGTTATACCTTGTACATGTTAGTAGTAGGGTTTTTCTATTCTATAAGGTGCGTGGGTGTTAAATTTTCTGCACAAAATTTAAAGTTTTAATGCTGAAGTTTTTAGTAGGGGTATACATCTTGATCTGGTGATTTGACAAATTAGGTGATCCGATTTGCATCCGATCTAAATTAGCAGATATTCGATGTCAGATCATATGCGAATCGAATCACATCCAGATCAAGAAGTTATATGGATTGGGTTCGGATTTTTTTTTTTATCCGTGGATATTTGATTTGATTCATATTGCATTTTTCTATTTTTTTTTTAAATTTTTTACACATTAAATCCACTAATTTAAAATAGTCTCATATGTTATTTCTTATTTTTATATTTATTTTCTCTTTCAAAATGCGCTTTCTTAGTATATGGTGTTAAGTTTTAAACATATTGTCATATAATTTGTAGATAAAAAAAAATGTAAATGAATTATTGAATCTTATTGGTTTGAATTGGAGTAAAAGAAGAGAATAATGATAGTTACTACAACACATCACTTATAATTTGGACCAAAAACTCATATGTTAGTACAACATATCACATACCCGATATTTTTGAAATTCTAATACACTTAAATTTCATTTTATCTTTGAAATTTTAAGAAAATTAAAATTGGATACTGATCTCAGATTGATTCGATCCACATAATGGAGATATTTGGATATCTGAATTAAAGGGTCCGAATCATAAAATGGCTTTTTGTGTTTATAGTTATGGCAGCGTGCAGAGTTGCAGTAACGAAAATCCTACTAATCTCTTACACATTGCATCAACACTTATACTAATACAATATCTTAGGAATGATTATGAATGAACCATTGGGGCAAAATAAAGTTTTCGCTGCCAAAGTTTGACACAGGCGCGATTTTAGTCTCTAGAGTTTTGATCAAAGCAAATTTGGTCCCTAGTGTTTTAAATTTGAAGTACGTTTAAGACAATTAATCAATTTTTTCAATTTTTATTGGAATGTAATCATGTGTTTAACTTAAAAAAATAAAAAGAAATTATTAAAATCATAGGGATATGCATCCAACATCCAAAATTAACTTTGATCTTGATCTCATTTCTTTCTCTCCCTTCTCTTTTAAAAGAAAATGTAAGGCCAAAATTTCTGACAAGGATCATGTGACTCTATCCTTTGAAAATTAAAAAAAAAAAAAATCAGTCAATGGTCCTAAATGTGCTTCAAACTGAAAATATTATGGACCAGATTTGCTTTGGTCTAAACTTTGAGAATTATAATAGTTCGTGCCAAACTTTAAAGACCAAAATTGCATTTTTTTTCATATATATATATATTAAGAATATACTACTCCACAAGTTATGTGTGTAAATTTATCTAATAAATATTATACACCAAATTAGTTGAGTTTGACAATGGTAGCTTTAATTAGTTGAGTTTGACAAAGGTAGCTTCTTCGATTGGTGCAGGTGGTGCAACCTGCACCAATCGTATTTCAATCACATACACACACACTATATACTTTCACTGTCTCGTAATATTTGTCACGTTTAGAAGTCCATATTTTTTATGTATAGTAGCAAAAGTGAAGGTAATTTATTACTTCTTTTCAACTTTCTATGTCACTTTTTCAGTTTTGTTTACGAAAAAAGTATAACATATAAACCCACAATTATTCACTGTCCACGTAAACTATTAAACTTAACATGGGGGGCGAAATACACCCAATATAACTTTTATGATACATAATTGGACGTTTAATGAAAGCACATTGTTTACTACTTTTTTTTTTTTGTCGACGGAGTGGGTGTTCGGGTCAAGTCCGTAAAGGCGGCCCGACTAATCCGACTTCGCCCCGGCCCAGTGCCCCAACCAGACCTAGCATGTTAAATGCACGGAGAAGCCGATATTGCTAGGGAGGGGGTGTTCGGGTCAAGTCCGTAAAGGCGGCCCGACTAATCCCACTTCGGCCCGGCCCAGTGCCCCAACCAGACCTAGCATGTGTCGTGTCAAGTCCGTAAAAGCGGCCCGACTAATCCCACTTCGGCCCGGCCCAGTGCCCCAACCAGACCTAGCATGTTAAATGCACGGAAAAGCCGATATTGCTGCGGAAGTTCGACCCCAGGACCTGACGGTCCCGAGGAAGAGGCGTCAACCACCAGCCCATTCACGTGATGTTAGAGATTTTGAAAATTCAAATATATAATAAAGAATCAATTATAACCAAGGATACAACTTGAAAATGAAGGGATAGTTTTTTTTCGGCAAATTTGATAAGATGACATAATTTTATGACATACCAAAGAGAAAAACATAACACTTTCAATAGACAACTTCGGTGGGGGATCCAACATCATCCTGGTGGGCTGGTTCAAGACATCTAAAGTTTTTTTTTTTTTCAAAGGCCAAAAAAGCAAAATCATAATTTGAAAGGACAAATAAAAAAAATTCCATCACATGCCGTCTGCATCATCTATTTCAGGTGTTCAACGCTAGGTTTATGCACCACTAAAAAGATTAGGGTAAAAAGGGATGCTTGATTTTCTTTTATTTTTGGGCGTTCTTTGCACGAAATCATACAAGGTTAGAAAAAAGTCAAAAGGCATTACAATTTCTGCATCTTTTGTACAATGCAATGAGAACATGTCCCGATACTTCTGTACAAAAAAAAACAAAAAACAAAAATGGCCCACTATAATTCGTAGTATGACTACAGCTTCACCACCATAAAGGGGAGTGGCGGGGGACATTGGGTGCATTGTTTACAATAAAATGTCAAAACCTATACATATTCTCGTTTGGGAATAGGGAGAGCTACAAGTACATGCATGCATAAAGATACTGGAGCAAGAAAATCAGTAGCAACAGGAGTCAGGCTGATGTTCAGACAGTAATCATGATGTTCCTCATTTTCCCATGTGAGTCAATATTCTGCTGATTAAAGCAGCTTTTGCACCAGTAACAGAGAGGTTGTTTGCCGTCAAATAGTACTTCAGCTCAGCCATGGTCAAGTCCTTCAACTGAAACAACCACAATAGAATGTAACTGGCAAACTTCCCGGAAAACAAGAAATTAATTGCTGATTCTAACAAAAAGAATAGCTAGATTTTTTTTTTTTTTTTTTTTTGTTTCCCTGGAGCGTCATCTAAGAAGTATGAACCAAGAACCAAGAACCAGAACCAGGACCATAACTATCAGTTTCACCACAACATTAAAGAGTTGATGCTGCTTTATCTATCTATCCTATCAGACATGCAAGGAGGATGTCATGCATTTTGAATCAGCAAGTCATAACCATATTTACTACCGTGTTGTGCTTTAGGTATGCTTAAACTCTCTAAGAGGAAAAAAGAAAACATTGCCTCAATACACCAATTTGACTTCATCGTTACCTATACAGATGAGCAATGTTCAACAATCCAAGAAGTGAAGTTTTATTTAAACCTCAAAATTAAAGATCAGCTTATCTGAACGCACCTTTCCAGTGTCTGCAAGTTCAAGCCAGTCATATTTTGAATATTCCTTCGTTGCATTGTCAGCAATTGCTTTCCGCTTTCGAGAGGCCTCAGTCATTGTTCCACCAATGGTCAAATCATTGTCCTCATAGTTTTCTCCGAAGACTGAAAGTTTGAATTCTTCCAACAGTTTAACAATACCTGGCCTATGATCAGTATACCCAGAATTAAATATCAACTTTAGTAAACTTTTGGGTTGTGGGAGGGAGAGAGAGAGAGACTTCCATTCAACAATTTGACAAGAAAATCTAACAATGCAAAGAAATTCTAGCACCTGGCCATGCCCTCTTGATCAGGAAGAGTTTCATCCTTGATTTCAGGCATCTCATCTTCATCAAGAGCAAGAGCCTGCAATACAGCATAGTGTCTCTGCAAAGCTGCAAGAAGTGCTTCTATCAAGGCCAAAGAAATTCCAGGAAAAATTAGGAAGAATGGAGCCCAAAAGAGCCTAATAAACTTTCTTTGCAGAATGGCAGATTCAAACAACTCCATGATACGAGCATGAAGGCAATTTGAAGGCAATTTTATAAGAACAATTAATGGTAATTCAGAGCAACATTCAGTCAACTTTCCTAAAACCTGACACAGTTTAACAATGAAACCTAGCATGATTGAAAATACTAGTAAATGACAAATGAACACTTGAGGAGTCACCACATCAATATTGTTTCATTCAAAACCTCACTGAGTCTATGTATTCGACTGTTTGGCCCACAGTCATTTCCCCAATTTCAGAATGCAAAAGAAGTAAAAAATCAAATATGAATACATTTAAGGTCATTTCCCTAGTCCAAAGACAAATGGAAGTAATCTCTAGCTTCGACACTTTCACATGATATAAGTCAATTGCAGACTTTTATATTGTTATTGTACTCTTTCCTTTCAAAGTTCTCATATTTCAGGAGCTAATGCTTGGCTCTCCAAGCACTGTGCTTAGTCTACATAAACCATCCAGACTGCTACTTAAACAGTAAAAGTCAAGCTCTATCCAGGTCAAACACTCCAATTCCACTCATTCCATGTGAATTAAGGGCCCATTTGATAAGACTGAAGTCTGAAATCTGAATTTTGAAATCTTAAAATTAGTGCTGAAAGTATTAAGTTGCTGAGTTAATTAAGTTGTATCTGATTGATAACTAACTGAATTATAGTGCTGAATTGAAATATCACAGAAATATTATGTTTTCATCTTTAAAAAAATTACCTTTATTTGTGTATTTAGAGAGAATAAAAAGTGTGTATGCGTGTGTTTGAGAGAGAGAAAATAATGAAACAATTTAAAGGTAGTGTTTAAGTGTGCATATTTTTGTGGGAGAGTGTATATTTGCATGCGTGCATGTGAACAGAAAAAGAACAAATGTATTTTTTGTGTAAGAGTATGTATGAGTGTGTTATATGTATGAGACCTATACTATGTATAGTCAATTCGGAAAATTCAGTGAAAAATATTCACTTCAAAGTTAATACACAAATTAAGCAGCACTTAATACATTAAGTGGTAAGGCATTTCTATTTTCAAACATGCTGAATTGAAAAAGTTCTGAATGAATTAATTTTCAGCTTTAAATAGAGTTATCAAACAAGCCCTCAGTATTACTATGCTAAATGGATTGTTAAATTACATGTTATATATGCTATTAGCATTCTGTCAAGTCAAAAGCAAAACAGACAGCAATTGGAACAGTACATGTGATACATGATAGTCAAACATACCAGGATTTGAAAACTGGCATACAGAAAAATCTTTCAAGTCAATACGTCGTACCAAAGCAGAGGCCGTTTTAGTTTGATCATCAGTTGCTCGAGGTGCAATGGTGTTTGCATCTGCATGAACCTGCAAGTTTTACACCAAAATTTTAGAGCTGTAATGTCATTACCAACCTACTTACCCAAATACATACATACATATACATATATATATATATATATATGTATTGTATGTACACACACACATGCACATGTATTCCTCTTACCTCTTCAACGTGTCTGATGTCATCAGAATATGGAAGGTATATCATATGCATTCCTGGTGGCTCAACCTGACCACCGCCACTGATGATCTCATTCTATAATTTGACAATAACGAGAGTGTAAGTACAAGCAGGCAGAAAAACTGTAGCAAAATAAAAATTAAAAAAAACTTTTCCACGTAGTCCCTTGCGATGTTGTCTACTGGTTATTCTGTGAAGAAAACAAACTTGAACCAGTTCATCAATTAGTTGGATACATATGACCCTCCAGTACTTCAAAGGAAAACAAATAATCCTCTAGGTGCACATTATCCGTGGATGCTCTTTTTCCAACTTATCTCCATACAGGTGTGTACCTTACAATCAAGGTACTGCAGATTGCACTTGCACAATGTAATTCGGATAGCAAAAAAATTAAAATAAAATGACAACTCTCTCTCTCCCCCCCCCCCCCCCCCCCCCCCCCGGCGGGGCTTCTGACCAGAAATTATAGTGTTCCACTGAATTTTATTGACTCCAGCCAGGGAGACTACAGGCATGCACCCTCCATGTGTGAAGGTCCCCTACTTTGTACTAAGCCTCCATTTTTGCCACCCCTATCCAGATCATTTTCCTGTCTTCTAGAATCGTGTACTGTGATATTTACATCCTTAATTGAATACACCATCCTAATTTGTGAGAGTGGTATGTGAGTGTATGTATAAGAGTGAAGGAGAGAGTGTGTGTGTGTGTGTGTGTGAGAATGAGAGAGAGAGAGAGAGAGAGAGAGAGAGAGAGAGGGGGAGGGAGGGAGGGAGGAAAGCTCCCAAAAGGAAAAAAAAAAGAGAAAACGACAAAAATGAAGCCATGGTAAAGGCAATAATCAAAGAAACTTGTCTGGGTATTGTACTCCCCCATTCAAAGAACATTGCAACTCTACTGAAATCGTATGCCTAAATGACACATCTTTAAGACCAAACAAAAAAAATTAGAAATCCTAAAGTCTTAATCAGACTGTAAAATGCACAACCATCTACAGTTAAATTATACAAGTTGACTATGCACGCTTAAAAGCTTGTAAACCGATATTAGAGCATCAAGACTTTAGCCACATTAGACTGTCATGCAAGTTAGATCCTTTTTGTACATCAGTGATCATTTGCTGATCTGCATGTTAGAGTATCAAAAATACCAAGTGCAATGTTTCAATCGCATTAACTTGTTAGAAAAGAAACTGCATCAGCTGGTGAAAGAAAACTGTACAAAACTGGTCTTTGAAACACCCATCACTATTAGCAAGAATGCAGATTTTGGCTAATATAGGACAGGCAGTCAGCAGAAGGTGAACCAATCATATACTCCAGCCACAGATTAGCTGAAGTTATGCTAAGCTAATTTATACCAACTCAGAGTTCGCATTCTACAAGCTGACCAACATGAAAATGAACAGTGTAACGAGCTTTTTAAAAAAAAAAACGTACTTGAGCAACCAGGGCAACCAGATGAGGATTATTTGAACTTCCACCAAAAGCAAGAGCAAAACTGAAAACAATACATGAAAGAATAAGTTCATAGTATTAGTTAAAAAAAAAAAAAAACCAAAAAGTCAATCACAATTCAATCTTGTGCATGAAAAGATGTGAAAGTACAAGTATCAGAAGCAAACGTTTAAAATTGTTCCAAGCTGTAGCTATAACGTCAATGTCCTTCTCTTTTTCCCTCCCTCATTTATAAGCAGCAGTAATATAATAATATTTGCTTAAAACTGCACTAAATTATTAACCAGAATGTGCTAAGCTATTCAGAGTTGCAAAAAGAACACCAACACAAACCTAGAAAGAGGAGAAAATATTAAAGTCATTTTAGCCTGAATCCAGTGGATGGCACAATCATTCCAACAATTGAGCATCCTATACAATTTTGGGTAGATGTAGCAGATGCATGAAACAAGACCAACCATAGGTCTCAACAGTTCTTTCTTTTTGAGAAAGTTTCAAGAGTTCAGATGTGCATTGTCACCTCCATCAAAATAACAAATATGTGGAGGGAAAGAAAATATATACTGAATTTCCAAGATTGATTGTTTTTTATGAGGATTCTTTAATGCTTTACTATTCCAAACTAGACTTTCTGCTTAATTGGTTTCAGCCTCCCATCATAGCACTTCAAATAGATCCTAAGCTGCATAGTTGTTCCATGCTTTTGCGTGTTAATTTTTAGTATCGAGGGATCAACTAGAAAATACAGTATTATAAAGAATACGAAATATCAAGATTACTAACCGATTAAGCTGCAACATGGATCTATGAAGAGCAACAAAAATGCAAGTACTTCCAATCACTTCCTGCAATAATACTATAAGCAGTTAACAAGACTATAGCTGTAGCAAGAAAACATCGGGTGTTTTTGCATACAAATTTTTTTTCCAAATATAATTTTGCTCGCATCATAAACACATTTTCCAATCACCTTTTTATATTTCCAACCACCTCTTTATACTTTCAACTACCTTTTTATCTCACACACATCACATTAGAAAAAAGGGCAATAGTGTTATTCTAAATAATTTAGAAAAGTTTGAATGACTATACAAAATTGCACAAGTCAAAAGTCAAAGGCTTTAAGCCTCTACACTTTTCATGTTCTTTTGCTAAACTTCCAACAATAACTAAAAGCATGCATCATGTAGCAATTAGACTCTGAAAAACTACAGTTTTATCCACCTCTTAAAGAAAAAATGAGAATGTCTGTTAGCTTGACCCATGATCAGATCTCAATAGTCAATAATAACAGTTGATACGCATCAAAGAATTTTAAAAAAAAATCAATGAAGATTCTTAATTCTGTAAACCTCGAGTTATTGCACATTTACGTCCAAGATGGGGTTTTTCTTATTCAGAACAAAAAAAAAGTATAAATTACCGCAGTTCAACAGAATCTGCAATATTTGAGATATATCCTACTGTTCAAAAGAGAATGGTACTTGTATGATAAACTCCATTAGGCATGACTAATATTTTGTACTTTCAAGCAGTACAAGGCTAGCACAATACTACAACTGAACCTTTTTCTTGTGCATACTTTTACACTTACTATGCATCCAGATTCATAACCAGGCTATTCCAAAATATGAGAGAGAGAGAGAGAGAGAGAGAGAGAGAACTGGAGGCTTATGTAGTAAAGACATGAAAGAACAGCAATAATTAATCAGAATTCCATGACTTGTGAAAAAATTACCATTCAGTTATGAGAGCATCAGAAAGAAATGGGAGTAGGATATGGCAAGAGCAAGTAGTATTAAAATAGAGAAGCAAAACCCAGGAGTCTTGAGAAATAATTATAACCTCATCACTAGGAAAAATAAATGTTGATGGCCTCAAGTTGTGATAGTCTTTCAAACAACTCAATGGCTTGAAACCTAGAAGACGAAGGTGTCCACTTGCAATTCTCTTGATTTCTGAAAGCTCATCAACTGATAGCATGACATCTTCACTGAAAAAGATATGTCACATAAAAATACAAAGTTTATACAAAGTTTGAGTACCTCTCTACCAGAACAATTATCTGCTATCAAACCAAATATTTGAAATGTTCTTTACAAGATAAACTAAGGAGAGAAAAGGGTGAGACAAAGTACTTCATAAATCATGCTATGCATAATTTTTCCATAATCATAAATTAGTCTGACCATAGTTAGGACTTTCATCCAATTGATATTAAGATTTGAGAACCCTCCTTAGGAATGTCATGCACTGTAAACAAAACCCTTCCACTATATTATCAATATCTAATTACTAAAGCATGTAATGGTAAGATCTTGCTTGAGTAATCCACTAATGCAGTTTTCTTATTGGTGCATTTTTCTTCCCTAGGATAAGCAACATGGGCACCATCACTTTTGCACTCACACCAATGTGTTCTGGAAGAAATTAGCATCCGCAAAGTAAATTCCTAAGTTATTTTATTCCACATCGATAAGCTCTCTTGTCACTTCTAACAGAGGCATGAAAAGGAAGGCTTGGCCTTCAACAGCCCCAGGCACATCCTATAGGTCGAGGACATATTTTGCCACGAGCCCCCTTTAAGAACGCTCAATCCAGTTATCTGATTGGTACTTCACCCTTTAAGAACACTCAATCCAGTTATCTGATTGGTACTTCACATTCATACTGGGAAAAACATTTCAAACCTGGAACCTAAACAGCTAAAATAAGCAAATTACAACCATCATAGAGTTAAATACTAAATTAGTATGTTCTATTTGCTTAACACCCCGGCTCCAACCTTAGCTCAAGTTTAAAACAGTTCCTTCTGAGAAATTTCTCTGCAGAATCTTGATCAATGTCTTTTGCCTTTCCAAGTATTCAAAGCAAACGGTACCCTTTTCTGGGTGCACCTTTTTCCCTTTTTCTGAAGGCTCTATTGATTGAACTAGTTACTACTTGCTTAATTTGTTAAAGGACAAACTAAAACTGCAAAATCCATGACAGTCCCACCAAAATAAAGGATCCAAAAGTACAAGCTAAGAGAAAAAGCCCATGTAGGCAAAACTTAACAAAAATTAATTTGACAGAACTGAAACAGCACATCATCCTTAAGCTGCATCATTAAGCCACATAATTTCAAAATACTGCTCAATGGTAACAAAGCCATTCATGAGTCGATTAGTATAAAAAATATACATGTGAAGCAATACTCAATAAGCTTATACACAATTCACTTTGTACTCTTTACATGTACGTTTCACAAGTGGAGCATAAACCAAAAAGCAATTTGAAGAGCACTTCCTATAATCACAAAGTATGCTAAGTGTCACTAATAAACTAAAATTGTGCATGTAACACAACACTCTAAATATGCTAATCCACATTTCAGTTTACACGAATTAAACTTTTAGGATAAGGCAAGCTTAGCAAAGCTTAGCACAATAGATCTAATGCAATTGGAAAACCACTTAATCAGTTATACACACCCTACTAGTCAATAATTCCAAAATTCTTTGGAAAGATAAACTTGCTGACATTTTATGGCTATTAAGCCCGTGAGTTTTCGAGAAACTTTAATTTGCTACAGTTAAGGGAGCTGAATATCTGAAACCCCACTAGATCGATGAAAAAGTTTCAGCAAAACATCCACTCCAAAACTATGCCTATTGATTGGATACCAAAAAGGTCAATGTACAGCAAAGAAAATAGCAATCCATGCATGTATTTGCTTCCTTTTGGAAGTATTCAATTAATTGAGATAATGCACTTTCTTACCATCATCATTATTCTTATCCTTCCACATTAATACTTTGCTAAACATCAATATACTGGGTAAATATTTCAGTTGTGGTAACAGCTTTCCATTTAAAGCACGTTAGAGGCTTACTAAAGCTTATCTGACAAAAGTAAGCACTATGGCTGCTATAACAACGAACAAAGACAAAAGGGAAAGGTGAATATTTCTATACAAGACAATAATTACAGGTATATTAGTGTACAACATCCCTGAAGACCCTGTGCAATGAGGACACAAGGTGCAATTCATTCAGAGGGATGATCTCAATAAAAATTCTTTGAGCCCTATCTTAAAAAGAATCTAAAGAGATTACAGAAATTGAAAAAATACAATGATATCTGCCTGAAAAAAAAGATAGGCAGAAAGGTGAACTTCCACCAGAGAGAATAAAGGTCTTCCGGGGATCTCACACGGCATAACATCATGGATAAAACTGCTCTGCACAAGAGGCAAAGGAGTAATCAGTACAAGGAGAAAGATGGGAAGGGCTTATGATTGAACAGTTAAACCAAAGCTGAAGTTCTGAGGAAACTCTTGCGAATGAACATTTTTAGAAAAGAGCAAAAAAAGAAAATGTGGGAAGGAAAAAGCAGAACATAAAGCTTTGGAAGTAGACACACAGAAGAAGCAGAAGCTATTCTCCCAAGACCCATGTCAATGTAGAAGATAACAGCAATTGAAGACTTGATGAGTGAGAAGATTGAGAGTGTGTTGCTAGCCAAATAGTCAAATAATTGGTGTATAAATGTAGAGTAAAAATGTCCTCATCTCAACTGATTGAGGACAATACACCACCAGTGACACTCACATGAAACATTTTCCCATGCACATAAGTCCTCAAAAATGATAAATAAACAGTATGGAAACAATAAGGTTTGTGATGCTACAATGCCAACACTGATAGTAAGGGCTAAATTTTGTACAACAGGGTCTGTTTGGATTTGGAATTTTTCCAAACACTAGTTTTTCAAGTACAATGCTGCATAAAAAAAAAACCACCCTTTTCTTCCTCCAACTTCCCTCCCCTCCTCTTCCCACTTCCCTTCTCCTTCCAAAGCCCCCCCCCCATCCCCCCAAAAAATACAAAAAACCAATCTCCCCTCCCACCCCTGCCCTCCTCCTCCACAACCAGATCTTAGTCACAGTGAAGAAGGGGAGGGGGAGAGGAGGAGGGAGTGGGGGAAGAGGAAGGGAGTGGGGGAAGGTGGCAGGCAGGAACGGGCGAAGGAGGCAGGTGGTGATGGTAGATTGAGAGGGAAGGAGAAATAGATTTTCAAAGTTTTTAAAACACTGGAAAAAAAAACTTTAAATTTAAAATCCCCCCCCCCAAAAAACAAAAAAAAAATCTACAGTAAAAGCTTTTAACCTACAAAGCTGTGGTAAAGCTTTTAACCTACAAAGCTGTGGTAAAGCTTTTTAAAAACACCCCTAAAGGACATAATCCATATGGACACAATTATGCTCATCATCATCCATTGACTTTCACTAGCCTTTTCAACGACTGTGTTTGGATAGTCGATTATTTGAGATAATTTTTTTTGAAAAAAAAAAAAAAGTGTAGCACTTTTTTGATGTCACATATGTGAGATAAAAAGATGGTTGAAAATATATTGATGATGTAAGCCAAAAAAATTTACAAATAAACTACAACCCAAACAAATCGAAAAACCTATAGCAACACAAGACTTGTATCAAATTTGGGCCACCCTTTTCTTTTGGATAAATGCCCACTACTCGGCTAACAATCTATCTGTTGCTTTTTTTATAGGGCCCATTGTTGTATAAGAAGCTAAATACTTATCTATGTGTTGCTGTGCCTTCTTGCTGCATCTTAATAATATTATTACCTTCTCGAAAGGAACCCCAAAAAAAAAAAACAGAGAAGAGAAATCCTTACATCAAAATGAGCAGAACCATCTATAGTTGAAACAAACAAAAAATTAACTACTATCATTCGGCACTCGTGGTTGCTTACCCAGCTCGAAAACAGAGAAGTCCACTTTGTGTCTCTGTCTATTTCATTTTTCTTTTAAGAGAGCAACTTTATTGCACGCAAAATTTGATGTTATACAAAAGTAGGGGTGTTTTTTGTGCATGCAGTTTCACCAGCTTATATTCGCTTTTAGCAATTTACACTTAAATATTGAGATGCAAATCTTTGCTCCCATAGATTTTCTGTTAATGAGTTACTTGCAAATTTTCCATTATTATTACTACGACTACCACCACCATCACCACCACCACTACTATTAATTATCTTTTATTTTTTGTATTATATATATATATTTATTTATTATTTATTTATTTTACAAATTTTGTGACTCCTGCTGCGACAAAAAGTGGTCCAAACAGCTAAACATATGACCATAAGAAATCACATGCTTGGTTAGGGAAATGGAGGTTATCAATAGTAATGATATTTCGATTGTGTTTAATAAGTGCCTGTGGGATTCGATTTCACGGAAAGAGAACACACAAGTAATGCATTTCAAAACATTAACCTCCTTTTCTGTAAATATTAGTCTGATTAGTGATTGCCATTATTACAAAAAAGGAACTTCTAAAAAACCGAAAAAACAAGCACATCAGAAAGCTGTCACTCGTAAAATGAATGTCCAAATCCACTGTGACTCTCCCACCTGCCCCAGACGCACACCAATGATAGCAGAGAGAGTGTGTGAGAGAGAGAGAGATAGAGAGAGAGAGTGTGTGTGTGTGTGTGTTTGTGTGTAATATTGGCTGTGGTCGTGGTGTTCACGATCGTGATACTTTCCACCCGATTGAAGAACCTTTAATTGCTATTCCAGTTATCATATGATCCTTTACAATGCAATGCAAATTAAGACCAACAGATGCTCTGACGTAGCATGCAACAGACGCACCTCTTGTAAGACTGAAAACGCTGAGCAGGCTCCTGTAGTAATGCACCAGTATCCGTACAAATGAAGGATCTATCAGACTGCAAAATGTCAATAATCCAAAAAAACCAGTCAATACTAAGAAAATCACAAACAATGAAATACTTGGCCCAAAGAGGTCAATGAAAGTGAATTAAAGAGACAAATGGAGGCAGACAACAAAATACAATAAATTCATTATTTAAGAGCATTAAACTTGTAATATTGCATTAAAAAAGTACATGATAAGAAGCCCCAATTTTCCATACAACAAGAAGATTGGAGATAATGCATGACAATGGCCAGGAAGAAAGAAAACAACCCAATAAACCTCGTAATCTCTTAATTTGGTTTGAGGCAGATAACCATGTAAGCAGATCTTTATTTTCCTTAATATCTACCTTTCCTTCTAAAGATTCTTAGTAGAACAGGCAGTTTTCAACGAGGAAGGGATTTTCATGAAAGAAAAGAGAAATGCTTGGGAAGGCGGAGATCCTTTTTATGGCTTCTGAAACTAGACTTTAACTGAATTAACTTCAGCAACAGCTCCTTTAAGGGAAAAAAAAAGGCCACTAACAGATAATTAAAGATATTAGATCAGCCAATATATCAACGGAAGTTTGACAGGTTGCCGGGGTCTTTACTTATGTTGATATAATCTACAATGGGGGAAGGATACATTTAGAGGCTCATCCAGAACAGGAAATTTCATGATGCCTACAATAGTCTGAAAAGGGAAACTAGTGGCCGCCTGAAAATAGCAATAACAGGGTCTCTTTTGAGGCTGGATTAGCCAATAGGTGATGAAATGGCGTCTCCCTCAGGAATTTCTTCTTCCTTTTCTTCTTGGATTTTGAGGAAAATTTTCCAACTTAATATTTCTAAATATATGCAATTTGAGGAAATATGGCATTGTTCCTTCATTCTCAGATTGTTGGACTCTTTACATGTTCATTTATATGAAGCAAAAAAGATGCATATCAAAAATTCATGTTCTAGAAAAGACAATGCAGCTTTCTCTTCTACTTAGAATGGGAAAAGCAGTTGTCCACATGACAAGTAGAACAATAACTAAAACAATCTCAGACTACGACCCACTTGCCAGCACAATTAGATTTCTCATTAATGCTCCAGCCATCAATTTGAAGACGCAGAAAAGGAACTCCAGCCAAAAAGACAGTACCAATACTATTGGAAAGACTGGATTGAATATTTTCAAAGGGCAAGCTTTGTCCCTTTGTACAGATGCTGAGGCAAGTGAACATAACATGTACAAAGTGATTAGATGCCTGTGATGGGTAATGAGGATGAATCAGTCTCTATCAGATTTAAAAAGCTCTATATTTTTCCGGTTTGGAATGGAGAAACCTTTCAAACACACAATTAATCATAATGAAGCCAAAGAGCAATAAAGCTGAATTGTTCTACCACCATTTCTTCATGTTTTCAACCTTTTCAACTGTTTTCACTCCTGATCTCGAGAATAGTGGGAGGAACAATGTTTGACAAATAACTTGACAACTTAAAAAGGAATTACTGCCTCGTGAATAAGTATATACTACTCAGCATCACAAAGTAAAAATGAATTAGATAACTCATACTTTTATTGGAAGATTGGTTACTGAATCAAGCCAAGTAATTGTCCCTAAAACCAAAAACACAATGGATTAGCAACCACTAGGAGAAAATAGTATTTCTTTTTTTTTTCAAGCTACATATTTGCAACAAGAGAACCTGGATTGGTTGGACGAATCAAAGCATAGGTGTCCACATCTATGGACATACCATTGGCAATTATGAACTTTATTCTTCGAATCTTACGTTTCTTGAATATACGCTTCCTCAGTTGTTCCTTCATGTCTTTCAATCTGATACAGAAGGTATAATTTACTGGCTAATACCAAAGTGCAAAATGCTTTCCAACTAATGTAACTATGCAGCAGTTACAAAAGAATGCTGTCAGTCAGCAAACAAGGAGATGAAAAACACTTGACAGGTAACAATTTGTTGAATTTCTTTAGTTACATTAGTTGTATTCATCTGTCTAATGCTCATGATTATGAAAAGATCACAGTGGAGTATTTCCAACTCCATCCATTTTTATTCAGCGTTTGGAATCTTGTCAGAAACTGTTTCGTATTTTAATGTTTCAGGTGAGAGACAACTGGAAAATTGTGTACCAAATCAAGATCCCAGAAAATAATCTTCTAAATTCTTGGTCTGGGAATATTTGCAAAAGGATCAAAAAAGTATTCAGCGTGAATTTCATAATTCCCCAATCTTCATGTTGATGAACTTCAGCCTGATATTGGTTCCTCAAACTTATTTGTGTTTTCATTATATGGTAAGCCTAAGAGTAGACAAGATTTAGCTTTGCAGTAGACAAGATTTAGCTAGGCAAATTCGGAGCATGCCGATCTCTCTTGGCATCAGCTGTTTATGTTGAATTTCAACGGTTCATAGCCGCAAATTGACATTAATCGTTGCAAAGTTGGGCATAGGGCAGCTAATTGTGTGTAACAAATCAATTGTGTTTAGAGCTGCAACATCAGCGTTAGCTTTTGTGGCAACAATTAGCTTACTAGTGCTCACCTCTCTCCAGCCAAAGCTTGAAATTGAGTAAGTTCATCACCTTCCAGCCCAAGTAATTCCTGTGAACTTACCAAATTGTATGACATTCATCTAAATGCACCAAAAGAAGTTTAATAAGACCGCTCCAAATGTAGGCATATACATACAGCATAGAAGAGAGATACGTTAAACTCATCATTTCGCCTACTCAGTGGGAGTAGTTCAATGGAAATACCAAGATCTTGAGCATCCTGAGAAAAACACAGAGAAGGAGCAATCTAAGTCTTACCAATAAAAATCCGTGAATGAAGAAAACAAACTGTATGTTTATCGTTCACAACTAATCATCTGATTATTGCAAAAACACATATGCATATATGTATCCTGTCTTTACTTTTGCTCGTTGAAGTGTTGTTCGCATCATATCCATTTTTGTAATTCCCTTGATACTGCCGAAAGGATCATCTTCATTGGTAAGCAGAAGCATTCTTTTGTCGGCTGTTTTTGCAGATCTGTAGGAATTCAGTCAACATGATCACTGAAAACCAAATAGCTAGATAGTGTTGGTGTCTCAATAGTCTTCTGAGAGAAAAGATGAGAAATGAGAAAGAAAAGGGATACCCTTTGCGGAGTAGAGCTTGAGCAACCCAAAGAGCACTATAGAGAGAATTATCACGAGAACCAGACAAGATACCATATTTGCTGCCAATGTCATTATCAAATTTTTCTGCAAACAGGCACGGGTACTATTACCATACCATTTAACTGATTCAAAAGGCATTCCCAAGATTAATAAGTTGCATGTAGAATATGGGAAAGAGGAGAAGAAGGTAAGTATCATGCTTGACAATTTGTAATTACTTTACCTTCTATGCACTCAAATTCTTTGATAAGCCTTGCTGTTGGCCTGTCTAAATCCTCCCTTTCAGCAACATTAAATACATAAACACCATTCAAATCCTGCAAATTCTTTTTCTCTCTCTGATTCACAAATAAAAGATGAAAGATGCAGTATAAGTGCCTGGACAAGAAACTAAACACAAGCTGCTTATGCAGAAATTCAGACAAATTAATTCAGTCAAAAGATTGACTCCCACTTGGATACCATTCTGTGTGTCCAAAGCTCAGGTACTCATAGGATGTTTCAATTGTCTAACAGAAATTCCAATACCCTCCAAGAACATGTTCTTTCTTTATAGGTAAACTGTCCACAATTTGCATAAAGGGCTTCTTTGGTTCAGAGCACTCCACCATATTGAATTAATCAACGTGTCCTGCCCATCTTTACTTTGTTTTTGGACATGGAACTATAGAATATATAATCCCAAGATCACCTATCCTGGCATGACACCTAGGTAAGCCGCACCATCATAAAATAATATATATACGAAAAAATTTTTAGAACAAATCCCAACAGTACTTATACTTCTACTAGGAAAACTGCATGTATTATAGATAAAGAAATTCTGTCAATTATGTTAAAAACCCAACCAAATGTTGCATAATAATGTCACAAAGAATTAGGAGTAAGATAGCTAATCCCCAGAACTCATAACATTGAGAAACTGAACCCCACCTCTTAAGTTTGTGAAAAAAACAAGCAAAAAAACACATCTCCCAGATTTCAGACTTCCTTTTCTTTCCAAGCTAGTATACTTCCTTCACCGCTTGAAAAGGGGAAACATTTGATGGGACATAAGAGGCAGTACTTTCCTCAAGAAATTCTTTCTTCTGCATATTCCCTGAGAGTAGGATCAAAGGATTTGACCAAAATGCCTTTTCCTCTCATAGTTCAAATCTAAATATCTCCCATACTTCTTTCAATATTAGAAAACTAGTAAAGTAAAATTCAAGCAACCAGCAGATCTCTTCACTTGATCCAATTTCTGACTCTTTAACACGTTCACCTTAAAAGTTCAGCTGATAGGGAACTCTGTACCATGTTTAGGCATGGATCAGCCACCGGGCAATCTTACCTCAGGTCAAATTTAGTATATCTAACAATGCGTTTTACCAACTGTCTTTACAGCCAAATGCTCTAATGAAAAGTTGCTGAAGTTTCTTCTTAAAATCCTTCCAATTCCTTCAACAACTCCAACACAGCAACACTAAAGTAGTTTACTATCTCCATATTCAACAACTCTCCTGTACCAAGGTCCTTTAAACAAGCTAGACCACTATCCTTCTTCAACTCAAATAAACCACCATAGAGGCATAGACAATTCCAACAATGTGATGCAGAAGCATGTTAGAACTTAGATTTTGTTGTTGTTCAGTTGATTATACTTTGTTGCCAACATTTTTTTGTAGTTTCTGAAATTGTTTGGCAGGTGCACATATTCTAGGCATGTGCCTGAGTGAGGGTATTTTGGCCTTTTGCCACTTTAGGACCATAATGTATTTGGAGCCCCAAAAGTACCTATTTTAGGTACTGCAGACAGCTGTTTTTATCACAGCCATTATCTTAAAATATCTACCAGCTCTCTTGGGCTCTCCAACAACCTAGAAACTAACTTCCTTCAAAATGTTGTGTTCTCTGTTCTGCTACCAACTTCCACTTTTAGTTTTTTGCACCCTGATGGAGTGATGGATTTGTAGCAAATGACAATCTTCCTACACCAATTTTCTCCTCCTTATCAATTTTTTTGAGCAGTTAAGCACCATTAACTTTGCAGAAAGACAACACAGGGAACTTGGTAATATAAGATGGTAGAACATGAAGCCATCAAGCTCAAACCCAACAGGGTGTTAAATTCAAAAATATCCAAATAGATGTAGGTTAATCTGACTTTTCAAAGTCATATAGATTTTTCTTTAAAAAACCATGTCATATTAATTATTTGATTCAAGGAACACTGCTAAAGAAACTAGAGATACAAGAGCTGCAAAGCTTGTTCCCCAAAGTCCAAATAAATGATAGTCAATTACTGCTTCAGACATATATCTAAATATAAAAGCTGAAATAACAAATTTGATTCATGGACAAAGACAAAAACTACAGAGATAAAATCCTTACAGTATTGAAGAAACATATTGCGACTTCATCATAAGATCTATTAATGATCTGAGTCTTCAGTGATTCCAAAATGCAACTCATAGCAGCGTGAAAAAGCGATCCATCCTTTGCATCCTCCTGAAACACATGATAAAAACCTGTTATATAAAAGATAAAAAACAATAATGTCAATGACCTAGCACAACAAACCACTCTCTGAGGGCATGGAATGTCTAATTTTTTTTGGTCAGAATCTCCAAAAGTACCGTCCACGTTAGATTATTTTGTTGAAATACAGGAAAACTCCATTAAATTCTCAATGGAAATGAAGTTTAGCTAATTCTCCCTGGAACTGGAAGATTATTTCGAGATCTTTGAACATATTCGAGGGCTCAACGTAACTTTGTCACTTTGGCCAACACACAAGATGATAGTTTAACTTTTGAAATCAAACGTTCTTTAATATACAACAATCTTTTCAATTACATTTTCACTGTTCAATGCATTATTATATCAACTATTGCACTGAAAGATTCCCAAAAAAATAAGATGCAGTCAATACAGCCAGATTCCCACTTTGTATAGATCTCTAGAAACAAAGGAAAATGAAACAAAAGATGGCTGATTCCAAAATGTCTTTCTGGATGTCCTCAATGTCAACTGAATAAACTAACCAAGAATGTTCCAATTCAAAAGTATGGTGGAGCCATCGCTAAGGGTTAACAGATGTAGTACTTGACTTCAGTAATTGAAGAGGACCACTAATAATCTACACTACTACAGAACAAGAAATCTACTCTTTTCTTCATGTTTGAAAAATCTTCCATCAATTTATTCTCAAGGTAATTGATGATGAAAGACAATTGCTACTAAGAGCCATTCCTAAGGCCATTCGCACAAAACAGGTGAATCTTTCTTCTTTCAACCAATTGAGCTTTTTAGTGATTTCTTCCTTTAATTTAGCCAGGTAAACAGCCATGTCTAGCTTCCTCACACACCTTGCATCTCTTTCTTCAATAATAGGTCATTTTCTGCTTTCCAACATAAAAGCATGATCAAAAGTTTCATTATATCTGTTGGGTTGAGTGGGCGCTTGGTTCCAGCATAGGAATTGGAATTGTAATTGGAATCATACAAAAAAACTTAGTATGGGTTTTGGACAAAGATATGATTACAAATGCGGGTGCTTGGTAAATATTGGTAAGGAATGGGTATCAAATTTAATAATCAATTTTTTACCTTTAATTTCTTTTTTCTTTTCATATCTTTCTTCTTCCTCATTCGAATGCTTATCCCACATACACATCCACCATAATCCCATTGAACTAGCACCCAACCATGACAACACCCATTAAACCAGCACCTAACCATCACCAATTAGTATCCATATTCAATTTTTGGTAAAGACAATGGAGCTTCAGAAGCAACAGTCCCAGACGCAACGAGGAAGCAGATTTGGATTTGATTTTGCCAAATCCCCACCATTGTTAGGAAACTGACCTTCCTTCAATTGCATCCAACATTTATGGGTTGTTAATTTATATGCTTTCTTGCAGTTTTTCGGTGGATTGGGTTTGTCTTGGCAGCTTTCTTTCGGCATTCTTGTTCTTCTCTACTTCTATTCTCACTACTTCTTTGCTAGTGGGGCTGCTCATATTGGTGCCATGTTCACAGCTTTCTTATTTGTTGCCAGTGCTTTAGGCACTCCATCATACCTTGGCGCATTGGATCGGCACCTGTGTTCTATGGTGCAGGCTGTGTGCCCCTTGCATGGGTTTTTTTTTTTTTTAAAGATTTTGGAATCAAATGTGGGATTCATCAAAACCCTTTAATCTAGTTGGGTATTGAGAGCGGCTGATTTTTCATGATTCATTCCAAGATTTCAAAACCCATACCCATTAGCCAAGCAACAATTTTGGGACTCAATCCAATTCTTGATTCCTATACCCTCCAACCAAACACCCCCTGAAATTTTCTTGATTAATGAATTCTATGATGCCTTACTCAAAAACTTCTTTGGAATACTCAGTAGAGGAAGGGAATAATAGGTTCACAACTAGATTAAAAACAAAAAAGAAAAACTTGAATTACTTGTAAAAAAAACTTATGGATCACTCAACCAAGTGAAATGTGCTAGTTACAAAAAATTTCTTTGCAGTAAAAAATTAAGTATGAAGATTATTAAGCAAAAGTCATAAAGACAATCTTAAGTAATTTGGGTCAATAGATTATTAAGCAAAATTCCTAAAGATTTTTCAGCACTCGATAATCTTAAGTAAAGTCCATAAATATTGCTTTCACTCTGTACTTCACAGTAATCCCTCCAACATGCTCCAATATGGGAAAACTTATGAAAAAGGAGACTGAAGATGTCTTATTCAGAAAGATGGCAAAATTTTATGCTGTCAATTATCAAGGGCATTTGTACTGATTTTTAACGCCACAATAACTGGATATCATATTTATGGAATTCAATCCATGCCTCAGTGGTGATATAGTATTTTTCTATGAACGTACTACTGAATACTAAATGCACTACCATCAAGTAAACATTCTGTAAAACAGTTGCTACAACTGCCTCTTACAGTGAATAAATGAAGTACCGTTCATAACTTGGTAGTGAAATAGTACATTTACGTGAAATATACTGCCAAATGTACTAAAAAAATGTACTTTTCACATAAACAACCACAACACATGCTCGTTAGAACAAAAAATCCCAATGTCGCAACCATTTTACAAATTAAGGGTCCAAAAAGCGTGCCATTTCTACAAAATTTTGCCTAATAGGAACATTCAATATGAGCTTATTCGCCATTTATACCAAAATGCTGCTCAATTTAACCAAAATTATGCAAAAATACAGCAACCCCTTTGACATTATTTTAAGTTATTAACATCCAAGCCTCTATGACATTATTCCCTTTTCAACTAAAACTATAAAATCTCAACTAATATTGTTCATATAAAAAACCCAATTTCCAGAATCCATAAACAACTAAAACAAATTAATATGCACATAAAAAAAGAAACGAAGGGGACTTACTGATGGGCAAGAAGTTGAGAACATTTTCGGGGAAGCATCGACCAGGTAAACCACTAGTTCTTTAGTAGAATCTCTTCCCTGAGAAAAATTTGATTTTTCGTTTTTGCTAGTTTATATTTGAAAATTTAAAGAATATTGGATTAGAAGATGGGGAAAAAAGAGAACCTGATGGAATTCGCTTTCAGGGTCGTCTTCGTCGTCTCGAAATACGTCTTCAGGGTCGAGGTCCATGGCTGTCCGGTGATGTTTTCCGGCGGAAGGAAGGAAACGACGACGTAGAGAGAAGTTCCGGTCGTGCGTGGAGTCGACCAGAAGAAGTGAACAAGTATACTGAAAAACCCCGCGCCTTCTCGGAGAAGCTTTTCGAATAAAGGAGGGGGTTTTAAAGAGGTTGGTGAAATGACAAAATTGCCTTTTCCTTATTTTTTATTTCTTCATTCTCTTTTTCACTTGGGTTGCATATTTTAGAATGGGTCTTGAATTTTGTAAATTATTTTTCTTCATGTTTGGATAGACATTTGCAATTTTGCACAATTGCACTACTTGCATCACAAACATATTTTTAACACATCTTTTTATTTTTCTAATCACTTTTTTATTTCATATATATCATACCACAAAAAGTATTATCATCCTTCCAATCACTATTTTATTTCACATACATCACTTCACAAAAAATATTATATTAATTATTTTAAATAATATTTCAAATAAACTCGTACCCAAACACACTTTTTTGGACGTGAAGTATATAAGATTAAAAGGAGCGATTTTGTCTAATACTCCATCTATCTCATTAAAAGTATCATACTTTCGATTCTGGGATATCCGAAAATATTTGTCTTGTTGAGAACGTCAAAACATTTTTTTAGTTTTTCTTTCTAATCTAACCCCTCCCTCTAATTATATGCATGTTAGCATTCAAATTCAAATTTTAAATTTGTGGGGATAAAATTAAAAAGAGACATTCAAATATCACAATCAAACCACTATTTTTAAAAAATTGGATTTTCGAACCAAATAATTGGAATGAAGGAAATATGTGGTTTACCATTTTATGGTAAAGGTTTGGCAGACCAATGGAGAAATGACACGTAAGGAAATAGGGTATTGATGGTGGTTTTAACACATACGGGTGTTGGTATAAGGACAGAGTTGTTGTTTGGTTTACATCTTATTTATACACACTCATTTACTTGCATTATCAATATATTTTTTAACTACTTTTTTTATCTCACACATATTACATCTAAAAAAGTTATTTTTTTCAAAAAAATTATCCCAAATAATTTTCTATCCAAACACAAAGAATATTGAAAAGATGGAAATGGCTATATGGTATAGTGTCCGACTAAGGAAAAAGAGACACACTGAACTTGTTGCTGAGAGAACACGCGTAGGAGCACTAATGGTCTAATGCAAGATTACGGAAAATAAAGAAAAGTTCGGATGATAGGAGAGGGGCTGAACGATATATAAATGATGGGTGAAGAGCACTGTAGCAGTGTAGCCCATCAAACTTTTCTGGATTCTCACTAAAATCATTAAGCTTTTTTCTATGTCAATTAGCCCATCAAACTTTTCCAAATTCTCACAAAAACCATTGAACTCTTTTTTGTGTCAATTAGTCCACTAAACTTTTGAAAAAGTTTCAATCAATCAAATTGCCTATTAGGTTAGATGACATTGTATTCACGTGAGAGACATGTGCACTTTCTAGGGGCAAAAATGATATATTTTTCTCACACATTCCTGTAATCGTTCACTATTCCTCAATCCCATTAGCCTAACTCATTTCTTTCTCTCTAAATCCAGCCTAGATTTTTTTTTTTTTTTTTATCAATTGTAAGGGTGAGTGGGAAGAAATATCATTTTTGCCTTGGGAAAGTGTACATAACTCTCATGTGAATATAATTCCATCTAACTTAACCAGACAATATGATAGATTGGCTTATTAAATCTGTTCAACAGTTTAGCGGGTTGATTGACACAAAAAACAATTTAATGGTTTCGATGAGAATTTGGAAAAGTTAGTAGACTACAATGCACTTTACCTATAACCCATAAATGATTAGGAATAAGAGAAAAGCACATGTTGTAAAATTTTTGGGAACTTGAATGTCAAATATTGGATTTAGTATTCTAGTTATTTTGTATTTATCACTTAGAGCAAATTGCACAAAATGTCACTAAAAAATTGTAATGTGTCATTTTTGGTCACTAAACTTTTTTATTAGCCAAAAATATCAGTAAACTAGTAAATCTGTACCATTTAGGTCACTCCGTCTAGTTATGCCATTAGAAGGGATGGAATTTAACTTTTTGAGGAATAATTTCGTTTGTACAGCCATTGAAAATTTTATACCCTCATTCTTCTTTCACCCACAACCACCCACCACCTACCAACGTTACCACCCACCGCAATCACCCCCTCTTCCACTCTACTCCCTCTCCCTTTTTCTTTCTTCTTCCTCCTCCTCCCTCTTCCTTCCCTCCCCTTCTCTCTCTTCCTCCCTCTTCCCTTCCCCTTCTCATCTCTTTTGTCCTCTCCTACTGGAATCCCCCTTTCCCTCCCATTTTTGATCTTAACCAGAGCTCCAACTGCAACCTCCAATCCAAACTCGCCGGAGAACGACAATATATGGAACAATCCCAATGCCATTCGGTTGCAGAGGCACTAGTTTCGAGTACATCACACGTGCTAAAGAGCAAATCAAGGAAGGCCTCGGCACTTGACGCCCATGGTTGGAGATGTTCAACTTCCACTCAATTTGACTTCCCATGAATTTCCATAAAGCATTGGCCCAAATCAAAATGAACATGGCTTAGGACGAACTAAGCCATTCTAGAGCTCTTGATTCTCTTCCTCGGCTAGCTTTGGCACCTAATCTCGCTACTTGTATGTATAGTAATAATGCCATCTTGGCTTTTCTTGTACTTCCTTTGTGACGAGCCGTTGATAATTTTTGGCCGTTTGATCAATAATTGGGAGGCGTTGATTAGGAAGAAAGCAGAGAAAGAAAGGGAGGGAGAAGAGAGGGGGAAGGGGCAGTGGCGGTGGTTGGGGTGGTGGTGTTTATTTTATTTTCAAAAATTATCCTAAAATAAATCCTCAAAAACACCCCTAACCTTGTCATTGTATTGCAATTTCAAAATATGGATTAAGCAATTTTGTATCTCATTTGAAAGTATTGTATGCAAGTTAGTTTCATTTTAGACCAAATTACCCCTTAAAAAGTTACTTTCCGTCTCTCTTAATGGCATAAATAGATAGAGTGATCTAAACGGTACAAATTTATTAGTTCAGTGACATTTTTGGCTAATAAAAAAGTTTAGTGACCAAAAGCGACACATTGCAATAGTTTAATGACATTTGCACAATTTGTTGAAGTACTTATTAGCAAGTTGGTATACATGTCTCATCATGTTATAAGTAATTTAAATAATCAAATTTTACAAAATCTAAAACAAACAAGATTAAGGCATCAGAGATACATGTAATTGGTTGTTTGTACCTCCATGTATATATGTCTCTAATGAATATTATACTATTTTCATTTTCAAATTATACCATTTCAAGGGAAAGGCTGTTAAAATCTATTCCATCGTTAGATTTAGAATTCGATTCTTATACTTAGCAATTGGGGGTTGAAAGGATGCGGGAAAGGATAGGAGGATTAAAAAAATACTATTTTCATTTTAACATGAACATATTTCCTTACTAGCACTATTGTATTCTGATGAAAAAGTGAATAAATAGTGAAATTGGCTAATTCAAAAAATATATTAAATTGTAACCTCCAATCTAATTGGAATTCCTTAGCTTGACAAATGCATGGTACATATGGAATTCCAAATTTCTTGTTTGAATCAAAGAATAATTCGTTAAGATTTAGAGTTGCATATGTACATAGCTACATAAGAATTCTTTATGTTTTGCATTTAGCAACATTGTAGAAAGAAAATATACTAATTCATTCATTTTTTTTTCCTAAAATAAGAGAAATCAATATGTCATGATAAAAGAGTAGAACCAGTTCAATATAGATTAAAAAATTAGCTAATTTTTATCAAGTTGAAAATTTGAAACATTATTGACAGTGAAGAAAATGATAATATTTCAGAATAACGAATGACAATACATTATTCAAATTGATGAATCTAGTAATTTTTCTATATTTATTTTCACGCCCCCTCTTCTTAACAGGCAAGCTTTCTTTATTATTCCTTGCATACCTTGTTTATTTTATGCTAATCAGCCCCACTCAGCTAATCATGCACGAAGTGAACTGACCTTGAATTCCCAACCCCTCTAATGGGCTCCTTCAGCAACCTTAATGTGTATCAAATTGATGCAACCAATCAATACATTTCGTTCTGGTTTAGTCAATGTAATACCATTTTCATGGTAAATACTACTATACACACTAAAGAGGATCCGTTAAAAGGTGATTGAAAGAATGAAAAAGGTTTTTTTAAAATTATTTTTAGAAATTATTTGAAAAAACTATGTTCAAAATTTGCTATCCGAATGGAATTGTTGGTGGAATGCATGGGAATCCCTAATAAGAACTCTAATTCTTTCCTAAATAATTAGCATGTGTATGGAATGTGAAATTTAAGAACTTCATAGAACAAACTTGAGATTTTTGACAAAGCTTTAGTCATTGGTTTTCCTTGAAAATTTTAGCCTTAGTAATGGAGGAAAGCTTCTAAATTTGTCTTATTCGGCATATTGCTAAAATCCTCACAAAGTTGCACAAAATCTTGTCTTCACATAAGTTTAAGGCCATAGAGCTAGATATAGTCATATTATCCTTTCTTTCCTTTTTTTTTGGTAGGATTTTATATCCTTTCAAGATTCCAGATTTGTAACTGCCAAAGAAGTATATCACCTAAAGGTTAAATTATTTACTGATGATAATGAGTGTGTTTGGATAAAGCTTTGTTTACAAATTTTTTTGATTCTATCATAAACACATTTTCAACCATTTTTTTATCTTTCTAATCACTGTTTTATCTTATATTCATCATATCACAATAAGTGTTAACGTACTTTTTCAACATATATCTTTGTT